ATATATATATATATAATTATATATATAATATATATTATATTAATATTATATTAATATATAAATATTATAATATATTATAATATATTAATATATAAATATATTATATATATATAAACTATATATAACTATATATAACATGTAGGTCTGTATTATAACCGATCATCGTATCTTTGAATTTTTCGCTGGAAAAATCTTGGCTGAAATTTAGAAAAGAATTTTTATTTTTAATTCCCAACTTTGTATATTAAATCAATTATTCCTTTTACAATGTATGATTTTTATTAGCTTCACGCGAAAACTTCCTTTTTCGCTCCATTTGTTTATTAAAATTAAAAAAATTTCATTTCCTTTAATTTCTTATTATCTTGTTATTATGTTTCTTTCCTTTAGTTTTTATAGGATAATGAATATTATCCTAAATTTTTTTATTATTTATTAATGACGAAAAAAAAATTATTATTTATTTTTTTTATTATCTTTGGTATAAACTTTCGAACTTTAGTATAAAATTTCGATTATAATAATTAACGGTAATTCGCCAACTAATCAGATTTAGAAAAGACATGCTTGCGGCATTATGTGAAGTTAATATACTCCGATATTTTTTAACACAGATGGACAACCACCGTTGTTCTTCGTGTCAAGTACTTGAATAATTATCATTGAAATTTTGTCAGTACGATCGTTGACATAATTAAGCAAGGGAGGGAGCACGTTCCGAATTTATGTTCTTCTTTTCTCTGGAATAAATATAAATATACTACTGCACGGCATAATGCATGTGCCTGCTTTGTGAATTGTGAGTAGGGGATGAACGAAAGCCTTTTGTTTCAAATTCGTAGTTACATACGATAGCTCCAGTTTTGTACGGGTTGTTGAAGAGAAGCTCAAGCGATATTTGAAAATTCCAGAGAATTGCTCCAAGAAAATGATAGAAGAATAATTTGAGATATATAATGAGTTTTTTCATCGACTGGAATAGGATGTCCCTATATTTTGATAAACTTCAATAAATAAATCTCAGTATAGACTAAACAACAATAAATTATGAAGAATGTTGATTGACAAACATCGTTCGTATAATTCTAAAATTCCACTAGTTCCAAATACTATTT